TTTTATAAATTTCAAACAAAAGTAGTACTGGCTGCTCAGTCAATGAATGCCAAATGTTTCCTTATAAGGAAACTTAATATTACCATTACTTTTGACCTACCTAACTTTAATTTTTTCATACATTTCATCATCTCCATAACATTGTCTCATTTGTATAATTGCTTCTTTTTATTCTGAAATTCATCTCTTACTTCTTTTTGTACATGCTTTTAGGATATGTGCGATTATTGGCCTCCACAACTTCCTTCATTTTGCTGACCTGAGTAAATCTTGGATATATGGGTAATGCAACAGTTAGCAGCATGGAAAGTGTAATTGTAGAGCCAAGTTTAAATTCTTGGGAAGTCTCCTGAATTTGTTTTTGCACTAATTTCATTAGGAAAGGCATGACTCCATATCTTCTCTCTTCAAATAGCAAGGTAGACTGGATTTCTAGCTTTGAGTGGCAACCTGTCTAAGAGAAAGAAAACTATTAATTTCAAACTGTGGAAAAGGCATCAGGAAATTGCTCCACTATTATTCCCAAGAAGTTATGGCAATTCAAAGATAATAAAGAAAAGGAAACAGTGGTGAGTCATAATCCCTTATACACTGAAGGGTCATAGAGATTCTTTACTTTTTACTACATCTCTTTGATTTTGGTTTTTTTTTTTTTCAATTCACCCCAAGCAAGGCAATAATGCCACTAAGACACAAGCTACTGGGAAGGAAACAAGCAAATAATGAGAAAAACTTTATAAGAAACTGGAAACTCAAACTTAAACAAGAAACAAAGTATAAACCTCTACTCCTGTTCAAAAGACCAGTGAGGAGTGCAAACTGGACGATAGGCGAACCTATCTACATGCATTGCTTTTGTTCTACCATCCTTTCAATCAAACTTGTCAAGTAGGTCACTTGCTGTTTCCACATTACTTCTCTTGCTGTCTTTGAGTGTGTCAAATTCTCCAAGCATTACGTTCCAGATATCTCAGTTGTCTCATTCTGATAGCTAAACAGTAGTTGTTATCTTGTCAATGTTATTCTTACTATTTTGGAAATCTGTCTCAATATTATATACACATGTCACAAAGTAGCAGTTGTAAGGAAGAAGTTCCTCTTACACAGCTTTCTCTTAAGCACAGCTACATGATGGAACAGACTCCTGTAGGAATGTTTTCTTGAACACTACAATTTTAACCTCTTCAAGTCAACTTTATCATTATCTATTTTTCTTATCCACTTAAGTTACATTTCCTATTAATATTTTCATTAATATAACACTACTTATTCATAGTAGACATTTTAACAATAACCATCTACCTTGAGTGGTTATTGAGACTTCTGTTTGGACAATTTATTATTAAAAATTCACTTAAGGATCTGAGAAAATATTATTTTTGAAATAGTAATTTTTTTGCATTGGCATTATTTCATGCAATCTTTAAACTTTTTTAAATTCTTATATCTGGATAAGATTATATTTTAGTGATTTCTGTAAAAATATATATTTGTCTAAATCTAGCCTTGCATATCATATCAGCCTTCTTTTTTTCAGTTTTAAAATGACAGGAAAAAATTTAGTCTTTCCAACAAAGCAAGGCTTGAGATTAATGTAATTCTATTTTTCCAGGGACAACAGAACATCATTTTGGAATGACTGATTAGGTATTTTGGGACGTTGCTGGGACAATACAAAATGTTTAATTAAAATTCTATTATATTTATTCTAAATGGAACTAATTTCTTAAAATAAAAAAACCCAAAAAAACCTCTCATTAATAGTCAAAGACTTTTAAACTTTTAATTTTTCTAAAAGTAAATTTTATACTAATTCAAGAAAGACTATGTTGGAAAAGGATGGCTAAGGCAGTAAGATAATAACAAAAAATACAATAAAAGATGGTCATTTGTATATGGACGTTATACATATCATACAAGTCTTCCTTGTCTCAGTTTTTAAAGTGCATGAAAAAAAATTTAGTCTTTCCAATAATGCAGGCTTTGAGATTAATTTTCTTCCTTGGGGATAGCAGAGCATTATTTTTGGATGATTGGTTAGGTATTTTTGGATGATGCTGGGAGAATGAAACATTTTTTTTTATTAAAATTCTATTATATTTATTCTAAATGCAACTAATTTCTTTAAAAACCTCTCACTAGTAGTGGAAGACTTTTAAAGGAAAACTTTGCTAAAAACAAAGAAAAGAGTGCTGGACTGTTATGTAATATCAGTCCTCTTATTTCACAATGAATGCTGGACAATCTTCTAAGAAATGAAAAGAGCCTTGAGTCAACAGAAAGGTGATTCTAGAGAAAGATACCCAGAATACTATGTACTGAACATTTGAATAAAGAGGAAGTTTTAAGGAAAATGGAGACAAAAAGAATGCTTACATTTAGAATCAGAAAAAGCTAAGTGAAATTTCTTGAGCACAAAATGAAGAAACTAGGTTCAGAAAATTTGACACTCACATGTTGAAGAGGGCAGAGGATAGCAATGAGTAATTGACCTAATGAGATTGTATCAATGGATAGTAGAACAAGGACTGGGAGGAATGGTCTAAGTTAAACTTTACCAATGGCAACAATGGATAGGGATTTGTGGAGAGCCATGATTGTCCACAACCGGAAAAGGACATAGAAGTTTATCAGTAAGGGACATTTTCATTTAATAAATAAAACAAATAAAGATGATTTTGAAATGTAATCAAACTCAGAACAAACTTGCTACAATAAGTATTTAGCCAGTAACAGCAAAATGTTAGCAAAAGCAAATGAGATGAACAAAGATTATAACAAAAGAATATTTTTCAGAAGGAATATTATCTTTGCGAATTTCTTGAAAATTAACAATAATGATTATTTTTATATATTTTTTAATAGTTTTTCATCTCAGTGCTTATTTTTTCATAACAACATTCTAGTTCAAATATTTTTAAAGCCATTCACAGTAAGCTTTCTTCTCATTAAGTGCTATAAAATATTAGTGTCAATATTTTTCTGACACTCTAAATTAAGCAGTTTATAGTCAGAACAAAGAAATAACCTCAAGTAAGACTTGAACACCCCTCCTACTCTAATGATTAAATGTTTTTATGTCTTACAAACTCTTTGAGGGTTATTAAAGCTGAAACAGTTCGGATTATAGGATGTTGCTTATATTACCCTGTGTTCCCAACCAGTTCCCGATATGTACTGACTTGGCTCGTCAATCTGGGGGATTGAACAAGAAAATGTGTTTTCAGTGGGATTAATGTCTCGGTTTTAATCTATAATCATGTTAATCCACACTTCTGATTATTCAAGTGATATTATTTGTTTATTACATAGTTGTAGTAGTAGACATAATAGTTAAAATTTTTTTTTATTAATTATTTCACCCCAGGGAAGGTGATAATGCCACTAGGATGCATGCCAGTTACATGGAGTGAAAGAGAATGAGTAGACTTTAGTGAGGAGAAGTGAGAAAAGTACAATAAAGGAACAAAGTTCAGAAGACAGAAGAAGGTGACTGACATTGCATTTAAATTTTTTTCTTGACTAGAAAGCAAGAAGCCAGAAGAAGTTCAAGAAAAGAAACTGTTAGCATAGAATTTACAGTTACATCTAGCCATTTCAAAAGTAAAATGTACTGTGCTTAAATTCATAAAGTCTAAGTACCAAAGAGGAAAGTTCATCAGAACAATTACCATGAATATATTTATAGAAAAGGCATAAGAAAGCTACATTACAGCAATAGGAAAGTGACTGAAGATTAGATGCCAGGTTAGGACCATTAACATTGCAAATTCTTCTTTGGATTTTATCAGGAATCTCTAAATATATAGCAGGAGCATAAGATCCTATGTGACAGCAATATTGAAATTATGGTGGAATGGTAGACTTATGGTTATGTAATATAGATTCTGGAGATTAATGGTTATGTAATATAGATTCTGGAGATTAATGGTTATGTAATATAGAATCTGGAGATTAATGTTTATCTAATATAGATTCTGGAGATTAATGGTTATGTAATATAGATTCTGGAGATTAATGGTTATGTAATATAGATTCTGGAGATTAATGGTTATGTAATATAGATTCTGGAGATTAATGGTTATGTAATATAGAATCTGGAGATTAATGTTTATCTAATATAGATTCTGGAAATTAACGTTTATGTAATATAGATTCTGGAGATTAACAGTTATGTAATATAGATTCTGGAGAAAAAAATTGTGTAGATAGCAAGGAAACAAGAAAACAGAAGGGAGTTCCACATGTGAGTAGTGTGAGAAAAGAAACTGTTAGAATAGAAGTGATAGTTACATCTAACTAGTTCAACAGTCCCTGAATTCTTAGATGATGTAGGTCATGGTGCCATTTTTGACCTTAGGTCTCTGCTTGAGACTTGGGAGGAAATGTTTATAATAAGAGATGATAATGATAATATCTCAATATTGCTTGCCACATGCAAAAAAATGGTATGCATATCATGCTGATCCGGTCATGAAGTCACTGTTCTTTGGCATTTTATCATTCATACTTACAGACATCTAAAAGCTAATAGATCAGACATCTTACTTAAAGATGACAAGCAAAAAAAAAAAATGTTTTCATATAGAAATGGCACTGCCATCAGATAAAAATATAACTGTGAAAGGATATGTCAAAATATGTAAAGGAAAGACCTTGAAAGTGAAAAAAAAACAGGTAGCACTTTCAAATTACTGCGATGCAAAAAGTAATTGGAGACCAAGGTATGATAAAAAAAATCTACAAGAAAATGTAGCAACAAACAGAAACCATACCACTTGACGGATTGATTCATTCATTTTCTATGGTTTGTCAACTCCTTGCAGATCATTCAAAGCCAGGAAACAATTCTAAGAATTTTTCAGAGAGATAACAATGGTTTAGTGGTACTAATTAACACATAGATAGGGGAGAAGAGGTGGATTCATATATTTCTCAAGGGTATTTGTGAATATAATGAACTCAACAAGATTTGGAATTCAGCTCTTCTATTAACAACTACACTACCTGGTATTCCCAAGCAGTCACCCATCTAGATACTGATCAGGTTTGACATTGCTTAACTTCAGTGATCATACAGGAACTGGTGTTTCAATGTTACATGGCTGAAAGCCTTATATCACTTGAGAACTTTCAATAAAGCAACAACAAAAATGGATATCACATGTAAAAAGAAGAGAAAATAATGACAATCAATGTGTTGGTGTTCCACACAACTTCGAAGAAAAGGTTAGGAAGGAAACTGTCATCAATAATGGAAAGAGTAATAACATTTACTGGACTTCAGAAATCTATTTTCTTGAAAAATTGTTTCAATAGAATAGTTTTATACATTTTAACCAAAATTAGCATTGGCTGCTCAGTCAATGAATGCCGAATGTTTCCTTGTAAAAAAAAAAAATGACTAATATTACCATTATCATTACCACTAAAGCCTATGTTTACAGCAGAATTTAAAACTGTATTGTGTGAAACTGTTCATCTACTCAGGTGAGTATTGTCAATGAAAAGGAAATATAAACACAATATATGTTAAGTATCACTTAATATCAGAATTTCTGTAAACAGAATGAATATATTTACTACAGGGGTAACAGATTGTATTGAACAAAAAGCAAAAGATGATGATGATGATGATGATAATAAATTGCTGCATTCTGTAAAAACTAAAACTAATATAATGATAATAATAATGAAAATGACTAAATGTCAACAATATTATGAAAAAAATAACTAGTAACAAAAAATAATAAGAATGACACTGATCAGTTTATCGCTAGATTTACCAGAGATACAGGAGATCTGGTTCAAAATTTATATTCAAATGAATTCTATTTTGTATATACATAAATGGAGCGAAAACTTAGGTATTAAAAAATAAGATGCTTTAAAGATAATAATAATAATAATATACCTCACCCAAACAGAAACAATAACAAAACAGATTAAGACCAGCAAGAAAATAATAGTAAAAAATACTTAGTAAAGACGTAACAATCATTAGATAGAATAAAATGTATAATAAAATAATAACAGTGAAAAAGCAACAATAATATGACGGAATAAAAAACTTTTACAGATATTAGTGAAGATATTAATATTTTCATTTTTTCAAACACAAAATAGAAATTCATCAATAAATAATTCACCATTTAAAACTGCAAATGATATTGCTTTTTCTTTGTCTTTTCTAAGAATCCATAAACTTTTCAAATTTTATTTTATTTTTGTATATAGCAAAGAGATAGTTTGGAATTTCCAGCAGTGCTACAATTAGAAATGTAAATCAGAAATTTTTCTCTTAATCCCTTGGGTATGAATATTATTGTAAATTAAATTACCATAATGATATTGGAAATGAGTGTCTGAGTATCATTTTTCTAAAAGTAAATTTTATACCAATTCACAAAAGACTATCTTGGAAAAGGTGGGTAAGGCAGTAAGATAATAACAAAAAAAGAATATGATAAAAGATGGTCATTTGTATATGGATGTTATGTATACCACAGAAGTCTTTCTTGTCTCAGTTTTAAAAGTACATGAAAAAAATTTAGTCTTTCCAATAATGCAAGCTTTGAGATTAATGTACTTCCATGGGGACAGCAGAGCATTATTTTCGGATGATTGGTTAGGTATTTTTAGGATGATGCTGGGAGAATGAAAAATTTTTTAATTAAAATTCTATTATATTTATTCTAAATGAAACTAATTTCTTTAAAAACCTCTCACTAATAGTGGAAGACTTTTAAAGGAAAACTTTGTTAAAAACAAAGTAAAGAGTGCTGGACTGTTATGTAATATCAGTCCTCTTATTTCACAATGAATGCTGGACAATCTTCTAAGAAATGAAAAGAGATTTGAGTCAACAGAAAGGTGATTCTACAGAAGGATACTGAGATTAGCATAGACTGAACATTTGAGTAATGAGGAAGTTTTAAGAAAAATGTTGACAAAAAGAATGCTCATACTTAGAACCTGAAAGAGCTAATTGAAATTTCTAGTGCACATGAGGGAAGAAGGCTTAGAGAATTTGACACTCACAGAACATATTAAAAGCAGTAAATAATCTACCTAACAATCTTCTGGTTGTCATAACAGATATTTGGAGGGATAACAAAAAAGACAAATCTTACTAAGAGCTACAAATGATAGGAAGTTGTGGAGAGGCATGATCACCCATGTCCTGAAGGTCTGGCAAAGAGAATAATAATAATAATGATGGACTGAACACAATTATATATATATATATATATATATATATATATATATATACACACATACATACACACACACTCCCTTAATTATACAAAACAGGGAAAACTTAAGTATGCTGGAAAAACATAATATAAAAAAAAAAATAAATTAAACTTCCTTGTTGGCTGTATTTAATGAAAAATGTTTGAAAGAAAGTTTGCTATATATATATATATATATGTATGAATGATCATTGCTGAAATTTGTCCACAATTTTCATTGTTTTTAATTTTCCAATCAGGCACAGATGTTTTCTTTGATCTAATATGTGTGTGTGCGTCTGTGTGTAATTTGTCTATGAGAAGAATTTACTTTAAAATCTAGTTTCCACCTTTTCCATTGAAGTAGTCCTTTGGGGGCACTTATGCAATTCAAGAGAATTAAAGAACCTTTCATTACTGCTCTTGACTTGGCATCAGTAATAATATCTGAACTGAAAAAACAGTTCTATAGATTTTACTCATAGAGACCTTAATCTCCGCTGGGTGTCTCATTAATATTACCCTGTTGTGAAATTGAAAAATGTCAATAAGTACTTTGGTAAAACCAGCTTAGAAGAATACATAATATAATATAATAACTGTGCTTGTTCCTCCCTTTGTTATTTTCTCAGTTTGCACGACCGTTATGCCCTGCCAATACTTCATAAATAATGAACTATTCTATTTTGACCATGTGGAAAGACAAAAGACATATCACTGATAATACTTGGTTTCAGTGAAAATAGAAAGAAAGAAAGATAGATAGAAGTGCTTAATGTCGCCTGCTAATATCTCATTACATTTGGATTGTGTGAGAAAACAAAAGATATATCAAAGATGCTACTTAGTTTCAGTGAAAAAGAAAGGCAGAGAGAAATGTTTAACGTCTGTTTCAGTGAAATAGAAAAAAGTTGTCATTTTCAAATCTTTTCATTTGTACCCTCTTACTTCTTAAAATAATGACCAGCATTCATATTTATAATTGTTATTGCAATATTTTGTTAAGCTCAAATATTTAATGATACAATAGGGGAATTTCTACAAATATTTTATTTTTGTAGAAGTCACGATAAATTTATTCAATCCTTAACTTAAGAATTAAGATTCATCAGAAATTTCAAATAGGAAAACCATGAAATTTTCATCGGTTAAAATTAATTCTCATAATTGTTCTAGCAGGTAAAGAACTTGTATTAACATTTTGGTTTATTGGCTGGTTTTTAAAGCCATTGACAGTAAGCTCTCTTCTCATTAAGCATTATAAAATATGACCAATTTGCTGTATTTTGCAAAATATTTTCTGAAAGCATTCACTGTTCAGTGACTAATTCACTGATTTTCTTTCTGACAGGTAGTTTGCTTAAATACTCTAAGATCAGATTACCCACAACTGGTGTAAGCTAAATTCTGTCACTCCCATGCAAAACAATCCCAATTCAACATAAGGACATGCCAACTAGACACACAAACAATATCAACAAAATCCCGCATAAAACAACCAGAATTATGACACACACACACACATACAGAACATAAAAAAATTTTAAAGCCATTCACAGTAAGCTCTCTTCTCATTAAGTGTTATAAAATATGACTGAGTGCTAATATTTTCTGACCCTTTAAAGTAAGTAGCTTGTAGTCAGAACAAAGAAGTAGCCTCCAGTGAGGCTTGAACTCGTATCCTGCACTGATGAATGAATGTTTTTATGGCTTACCAACTTTTAGTCAGTACAATCTCCAAACAAATGAAAAGACACTTCAGTCAACAGAAATGTGGTTCTACAGAAGGATACTGAGAATACCATAGATTAAACAAAAGACTTATACACACAAATGATACCAGACATGACAAATACATGTGAGGTCTATGTCACAAATGAAAACGAATAACATAAAACTAAAAACATACACACCTTTTTCTTTCAAATTTCATTTTCTGATGAAGCTTAAATAAAAGTGAAACCTGTTAAATTCATAAATGTTTCCTATTTGTTCCTTATCCTATCATTTTACAAGATTTTGATCTATATTTGATCGTAATTCATATATATATATATATATATATATACACACACACAGACAAACATACAGGGTGCAATGGATAAATTGTCATCTGAATTACGTATAAATGAAAATAATACTGACATTTCATTTTAACAAATATATTTATCAAAATTACACGAAAATATCTTGAAATACTAGAGTAAATTTATTCGATTTAATCGCCATTGGCTTCAACCACACCCTCTAGATGATTTTGGAATCTCCTGCAACTCTTCTGGACACAGTCCTGTTGTCAGACATAGGGTCTTCCAGTAGCCACCCTTTTGATCCAGGGCAGCACTATATCCTCAAGGCACTTGATGACGGTCACCATACTGAGTGAGGCCTTGTGGGAAGATGAATGGCGGCAGAACATTGCCATCATTAGTGATCACGCCAAACACATTTGTAATCAACATTAGACTCATCCAACTCTTTCCGAATCCTTGGCACTGTCCTCAGATTGACACCCAAACACTCTGAAATGTTCGTATTGGAGCTTCAAGTGTGAATGCCAAGCAGTACAGTATGCTGTTTTTAAATTTCTGGCAGAGTGAATTGTGGCATGGTGCTCTTTTCCTCACAGACAATGTCCAACTGACCCTACTATACTATGCAGTTGATAAAATCAAAAACAATGTTCATGAGCAAAATTAAAAATATAAAATGGCGACAGTTTACCCATCCCAATATATATATATATATATATGTGTGTGTGTGTGTGTGTGTGTATTAGAGTTAGGCATACATTATCTCTGCATATGTATGTATTCAATAGATCAAATCTTCAATAACCTTGCAATAATGATGGCAGCCAACAGTAACAATCAGTCCATGTTTTAGTGTTAGTTGCATCAAGTTTCTGTATATCTTTATGAATTCCTTGGCTATCACCTTTCTCCTATTTTGGTCCAAATCAAATGCAATGAATTATGTATTTAGCCACATCAGGTTAATTTCAGTGTGCTGTCCACAAACTGACTAGACACAAATAAAATCCAAATTTATTACTTCATTTTTAATCACTTCATCTTCAAAGACTTTTTTTTCTTCTCACACTATTTTGATGATTGTAAAAAACACAAAATGGCTTCAAAAATTGATTGTTAAGTAGAAAAGAAATGAAAAAGTAAATCTGCTCATATTATGAACTATAGATGTTTATTTGGAAGTGACTGAACACTACACAATATTATTCTTGTATCAAGCCATATAATTTATTGTATTGGCTGGAATTTTGACTTTCTGATCCTCCAGTATCTTTTGATACTCAATTTGATCTTTTTGACATTTTCTTCTTAAATATTTTCTCCTGAGATTCTCTTGTTTCTCATTTCTTTTAATTCTCTTTCTCCTCTTTTTCTTTCTATTTTTTTCTTCTCCTTTCCTCATTTCTTAACTCTTTCCTTTCTCTTTGTCTCTTACATTTCTTTTCTCTCATTCTTTTCTCCTGTTTTCTTTCTATTTTTTTCTTCTCCTTTCCTCATTTCTTAATTCTTTCCTTTCCCTCTTACTTTTAATTCTCTCGTCTCTCTCTTAGCTCTTTCTTCTCTCTTTTCTTTCTATTTTTTCTTCTCCTTTCTCCTTTTCTCATCTCTTAACTCTTTCCTTTCTCTTTGTCTCTTACTTTTAATTCTCTTTTCTCTCTCATCTCTTTCTCCTGTTTTCTTTCTATTTTTTCCTTCTCCTTTCTCTTTTTCTCATTTCTTAATTCTTTCCTTTCCCTCTTACTTTTAATTCTCTCGTCTCTCTTAGCTCTTTCTTCTCTTTTCTTTATTTTTTTTCTCCTTTCTCCTTTTCTCATTTCTTTAACTCTTTTTTCTCTCTTAGCTTCTTAATTCTCTTTTCTCTCTCATCTCTTTCTCCTGTTTTCTTTCTATTTTTTCCTTCTCCTTTCTCTTTTTCTCATTTCTTAATTCTTTCCTTTCCCTCTTACTTTTAATTCTCTCGTCTCTCTTAGCTCTTTCTTCTCTCTTTTCTTTCTATTTTTTCTTCTCCTTTCTCCTCTTCTCATCTCTTAACTCTTTCCTTTCTCTTTGTCTCTTACTTTTAATTCTCTTTTCTCTCTTTCTCCTCTCTCTTTCTTATCATTTAACTCTTTTCTTTATCTTGTCTTTCATCTCCTACTTTTAATTCTCTTATCTCTTTCTTCCCTATTTTCTTTCTGTAGTATTGTATGCAAATGAGGTACTGCTATAAAAGCAGAAGACCACATCAAATGCCAGTTGAGCTACCATCTGTTGACCTGACAATGCCAATTCCAGAGAGTACTCTACTTCATAACAACTAGGTAGAGAAGCTGAAAGACAAGAAAACCTTCGGAGGGGAGAATAAAATTACTGATTTATTTTTGGCTTTGGCAGGATGTGAAGCCATAAAGAAAATATCCATTATAATGTACTCCAAAATACTGGAAGACTTAACATATGAGGAAATTTCGACCATTATAAAAGAAACCACAAAAAAAAAATTATTGCAAAGAGAACAAAATTTCTGGAAAATAGACAGAACCCAAATGAAACTGTAATGCAATATTTACTCAGATTGAAAGAAGCATTAAGATATTGCAAATTTGAAAAATTGGTGTTTGAGAGAAATGTCTATAGAAGACAAATTGATTCTTCTAAGTCTAATTGAAGACATGCATGATGCTATGTACAAACATAAGATCCTAGAACGGCTACAAGCGAATGATATGAATTTAGAAGCAAGTGTAGAATTCTTGCAGCAATTAGAATTAATTAATGAATTTAATAATTCTAAAAACAATATGGAAGCATGCAACACAACTAAAATCCTAATTAAGTGCAAATATTGTGATAAAGAACATGAAAGAAACAAAAACAAATGTCCAGCCCTAGGAAAATTATGTTTAAGCTGTAAAAGAAAAGACTGTTTCCAATCTGTGTGTGCATACAAAAAGAAAATAGAAAGGGTAGAAAGTATAAACCCTCATACTGAAAATACAGAAGTATATTCGATAAGAACACCTGCAAAAAGTAGAGAGACAGTAAAATTGAATGGCATAACTTTTCTCATGCAGGTTGACATGAGGAGCAATGTTAACTTGACACCAAGGAATTTCTGGGAAAAAATGGGTAAATCCAAATTAAGAAAAGTAATCTTAATTTAAAACAACTTGATAGATTTGTCATCAAAACTCTAGGCTCCTTTAAAGGAACTTTTGAGACAAAAAATGCTTTGAGATTATTCCCATCACTTTTTAACAAAAAATCATGGACTCCTAGGAATAGACGTTTTAAAAGTGCATATGGTGACATTAATAAACTATGTAAAGTCAGAAGAACCTGGCAGAGAACTATTGAAAGGATATAAAGCAAGTATTTGTCTAAAAGAAAATAGTCATGATTAAGAATTAAAGAATAAATGTGATATTTTGAATCTCAAAAAAGAGCTATTCACATTCACCCATGGTAGTTGCAAAACTAAGATAAGCTATAAAACTAATGGCCTTGGATTTCGACATCATATATGTAAAGAGGAACACTATTCCACAAGTGGATGCACTATCCAGACTAAATTTCAACTGTAAAAAATTAGAAATATCTGAAAATTCAGAAGATAAAATACGGCAATGGGTTGAAATAGATGTGTTACCCCTAAATCATCTCAGAATAGAAAACACAAGACCCAATGGTAAGTAGAATTTCAAACAGAATAAAAAAAACACATGGAGCAGTTGTTCATTAGCAGAAAGACCACACAAAGTATCAAAACATAAGTTAACTGTAGAGAAAGGCATAATATGCAATGGCGATACTATAATACCCCCACAAAGTTTAAGAAAAGAAGTACTAAAAAGGGTACATGATAATGTACATTGTGGTATAACAGTGACACAAATGAGATTAAAATTACAAGTGTGGTGGCCAGAATATTCTTGAGATGCAGAAGATTATGTAAAATGCTGGCCAAAATTTGGTGAAATAAAAAAACTTTTGGCAAAACAAAATTCATTTGTGGCCTAAAGAAAAAGTACCATGGGCTCAGGCACACAGAGGTCATGCCTAAATTAAAGGCATTGGGCTATTTTAATTTTAGTGAACTCATTTTCAGGATGGCCTGAAGTAATTAAGGTTGCTGACAGAAAAGACACCACTGTAAAACAAGTATTAAGAACAATACTTTCAAGGAATAGGGTGTCTAAAACTTTGGTCTCAGATTTAGCGAGAAATGTTTGTGTTCATGGCTAAAGAGTAGTGGATGTGTTCTGTATAAAGCACCATCTTACGACACACTCGAATGGAATCACAGAAAGGACTGTGAAAATGGGACTAAAAGCATTTTCCCCATCTAATGATAATATAGAGAGTTACTTACCAAGATTACTGTTAAGCAATAGGACAATTCCACATGCTGGCAGACTACAAAGTCCCCCTGCATTAATGGGTAGACAGATTACAGCTCCCATAATAATATCATTTTCAACAAATGAAAGTGTGTGGTATAAAAAAAAAAACAAAGAATCTAATCCAAAGAAGGCAAATTTTGTAGTACAGAAAGGACACAACACAGCAATACTAATGAAAAATGGACAAAATGTACTGGCCTATGTTGATTAATTCAGAAGCAGAATGAAATCCAAGGATAGAGAAATGGACATAGAATCAGAAGGTGAAGAACATGAAGGGGAGGAGAGGATTAATGAATCCAGTAATGAAACTGAACAATCTATAGATGTCAATGATCAGAAATCTGACTTGGAATCGAAAGAGCAAAATGAACACAAACCTAGGTTCCCTATAACAAGAAATCAAGTTATACACCAAGAAATAATTTCGATTTTGAAGAACAATTAAAAGAAGTCAAATATCAATGAAAGGCATAAAGCCATTTTGGTTTAGAGAGGTGTAGTAGTGTATGTAAACGAGGTACTGCTATAAAAGCAGTGTGCCACAGTAAATGCCAGTCAAGCAACCATCTGTTGACCTGACGACATCTATTCCAGAGTGTACTCTATTTCATAACACTTTCTATTGTTTCTTCTCCTTTCTCCCTCTTTTCTTTCTCTTGTCTCTCTTATCTCTCTCTCTTGTTTCTTTTACCATTTCTCTTGTCTCTAATCTCTTACTTTTAATTCTCTTGTCTCTCTTATCTCTCTCTCTCTCTTGTTTCTTTTACCATTTCTCTTGTCTCTCATCTCTTTTTCTTTTAATTTTTTTGTCTCTTATCTTTCTCCAGTTTTTTTTTTTTCACTTGTTTTTTTTCTTCTCCTTTCTCTTGTCCAGTAAACTTTTTCTTTATATCTCTCATTTTCTTTGTCTTTTCTTTTTCTTGTATTTCTGTTCTTTCTATCCATCTCTTCTTTTCTCCCATGTCAACATCTCAATATCAGACATTGCATTAACGCAAAGCACCTTAGTTCTTAACATAATTTTTCATGGAGATTCTAATTTGTATAAGGAGTTATTTCTTGTCAAATATAAGTATTCATCTATTTTATTTGAAATCAACTAATTGCATGTAACCATTCTTTGAAATAAATGTCAGAATTTATAACATTGGATGGAATTTTAACCTTCAACTTCTTCATTCCTGTACTCAAACTGAAAAACTTGAAATAAGTCTTTTAATCTCTAATAGAAATACCTTACACATAATGGTAAGACTTTTGTAGATATAGTGTCTTCATCTAACTAATGTCTTACCATTGTGTGGGAGGTATTTCTGCCACACTTTGTAGTTACATATTTCCTGCTGGTGTCAGGGAATGGCTTTTGAACCCAGAAAAAAAGGCCAGGATTTTGAATGCTGGTCTTTACAAATGGCATAAGCTTCTAATCCTATATTGGTTATTTGGATTTGTGCAATACTTGGTTAAGTTTAATAAACATCTATTTATCTACAAATATAAAGGTAGATCGATAAGTCTATCCTCTGAAAGGTAATTATAAGCTGGATCTTTCTCCAATCCATTTGTTGCATTTTTTTTTAATCATTTTATCCCAAGCAAAGCAGGAATGCCACTAGTACGCAGGGGGGTACGGAGAGTTAAGGTGAGAGAAAAAACTGGGTATAGTGGGGATCGAGGAAAGGATAAAGGCTTAACGGAGTTCAAGGAGAAAGAAGATGGTGATTGATGTTGCATTTAAATTTTTGAAGATTGTATTTATCAGGTAAGCAAGTAAACAGAAGGGAGTTCCACAGGTGGGAAGTGCAAGAAAAGAAACTACTGGAGTAGAAGTGGAAGTTACATTTAACTAATTCAACATTAAAAGGTTGGGACCTAGATTCCAATCTAGTAGCATCCTTAAAATCACATAGTAAAAGTACCAGGAAAAAATAATTTAAATCTGAATAAAGTGCATTAACAAAAAAGTCGATTATGTTAGATAATAAATGCTATTTTTTATCATATATATATATATATATATATATATATATATATTAAAAAATGGACAAAATCCGACAATTTATTTTATTAAAACATTTTTATGTTTAACGTTCTTTTATAGATACAAGTATTTAAGTAAATGCTCTGTTTATAATAAACAGTATTAAATAACATTTACCGGCCTGAATGTCCGAGAAATTTACATATTGAAGTTTATAAGCAGTAAATTCGACCTTGCCTACCGAACGATTGGTAAGGCACGTCAGCGTAAATGACGGTTCCGGTAGGATGCAGGTTCGAATCCTGTCAAAGGACAAATATTTTTTCTGAAAATTTCTCGGACATTCAGGCGGTAAATGAAATACTGTTTATTATAAACAGAGCATTTAAAATATTTTATCTATGAAAAGATTTTAAAAAAATAAAATATATATAATTATATATATATATATATATATATATATATATAAGAAACAGAAAAATATCATTAGAAACAAAGAAAAGAGTACTGGACTGTTACATATTAATAGTCCTCCTATTTGGCAGTGAAAGCTGGACAATTTCCTATTAGATGAAGAATTGACTTGAAGCAATAGAAATAAGGTTCTACAGAAAGATGCTGAGAATACCATGTACCGAGCATGTGAGCAATGGCAAATTTCTAGAGACAATGGCAACAAAAAACGCACTTGTACTTAACATCAGGAAGAGACAGTTGAAATTTCTGGGACATATAATTAATGAGGGCTTGGAAAATTTGGTACTCACAGAATAGATGGAACATGGATGAAAGCATTGTATAACCTACCTGGTGAGCTTAAGCGAATGGATAGCAGAGCAGCATTTGGGAAGGTTGGCAAAAAGTTATTAAGAGCTACAAAGGACAGAAAATTGTGGAGAGCCATGATAGCCTACATCTTGAAGGAACACAGCACATAGAAGACAATGTATATATCATCATCATCATTATCATTATCCTACCCATGAGTGTATGCAGTTGTAGAGTTGTTGTACAACTGAACACCTCACAAGTTTGCTCCACATATCTGGGTTGAAAGCTGGAGAAGTATTTATTCAAGTGCAGTGTGTCTTGAGCAAGTAGACCAGGCGGAGTCCATCCCTCTCCTGGTCAAACCACAGCCAATATCCTCTAACTTGAAGGTTTGCCTTGATTAAAAACACACTGATGTTGATTCTATTCAGAGAAATCCTCTTCTCTAGCTGTTGACTTCTACTAGAAAGTTCTCTGTGCAGTGATGTCATATCATCACCACACTGGCTGCATATATATCTATGGATCCGAGTCTAACCCACTGTGCTAGATGGCCAGTGATGGCCCTAGGGTTGATGGCACTCTGAGCAAGCTGAATTTTGGCACCCTTACAAGTATAATTTTTTAAATTTTCACAAGGAGAAAAACTGAAACTGTAGAATAACATGTTTATTATAATATGCAACTTAATATAAACAACAGAAAACATTCATTATCCAACCTAAAACATTTTTCTAGGCTTTAGATTTGGGACCTCCACAAATTTTGCTGAAAAAAAAAAAAAACAGCATAGCATGATGAAAAAAGGCCCCAAACTTAATAAAACAAATATATATTGTTAAAATGTTTATATTATTATTAAGAGGAAAGACCAAAGTATTTTTTTATTAAATTTTTTAATCCTTTCTAGCCTGTTCCTTACTTAATTTCATTAAATTTCAAGTAATTAAATTTTAATTGCAATATTTGTTTTATTAGTTAAAAGCAGGAATTCTTAGAGAATGTAAATCATTTTTTTTTTCAAACTGTTACTCATTTCCCGAAAATCTGCTCCAAATTGTAAAAAAAACTGGAATAAACTATGACATAATTATATTACAGAGAATATTTTACAACATTTTTCAGATTATTGATTATTACTGATTTTTGATGTCTGGTTAGTTTAAAAGCAGTAATTCAACCTTGTTAACCAGAGACTTCCTCTGTAGCAGTTCCATGTAGGATACAGGTTCAATTCATGTCAGAGAATGCATACTTTCTATGAAATTTCTTGGACATTCAAGCCAGTAAATGTTGTTAATACTGTTTATTATAAAGAGAGCATTTACTTCAATATTTGTATCCATGAAAATAACGTATAAACTATATATATATTTATTTTCTCTGAGTTGAGAATTAGATATTTTACAAGCACAGATGTGGTTAAAAACCAAAAAGCCCACTGCATATCTATGAATCACTCTTGAATACATCACTATTAAAGAAAATGAACTGCAAAGAAATTATAATTCTTATATAGCATCTAAAAGTACTAAAGTAATTTTAGATGCTGTCTATGTATAACTATCTGATGTCTATATGTCTATGTCTAGAGTTATGTGTCTTCACACCCAACTTATTCAAGCTATACAGTGAGACAAATTTGAAAGAATTAGAAGTCCTACCAGAATTCATTATTGGCAGCTACATTCTTAACAATATAAAATATGCAGATGACAAAGTGTTGATAGCAGACACAGGAAGGAAACTACAAGAACTCCTTCAGAATGTTGTGAAGGAAAGCAAGAAGAAAGGACTTAATATTAATTGACAGAAAATAGAATGCATGGTTCTTAGCAAAGGGAACATCTCAAGATTCAAATTAGAAATTGGAGATACCAAAAGTAGAAATAGGAAGTGTTTTAATAGAGGACAGAAAGTAGAACACTAAAATCCAAAGGTACAATGGGATAGCAAAAAATGCCTTCCAAAAGCTAAGCACAGAATTAAGAAAATTTTGTTAGAAACAAAAAAGAATACTAAACTATTATGCAATATCTATTTTTCTATATGGCAGTGAATGCTGGACAATATCCTCACAAAACTTTAAACAAACTGTATTTAGTTTTGTGATTTTTAAAAAATTTTTGATTTATTGAGTGTTCATGAAATATTTTCTGCTTTTTCTTTTTAAATTTGGCAGAAGGTAAAAACATCTTTAAAGATAAAAAATCACAGATAGAACAGGATGGAAAGAATATGTGTTAATAATAAGTTGAAAGCATTTTTATTAAAAATAATGACAAAAAAAACCAATGAGTAAGCATTCTTACAAATTAAAATATCAAAAAGATTGAAGACTGACAAGAGACAAATAAATTTGGGAGTATTTCTATTTCAGCATTGCTATTTAATTAAAAACTGGAGGAAAAGTGACATGCAACTATAAATTTTAAAGAAACGTGTTTTGTTTCACTCATTTCATTTTTTGTTTCTTTTGAATTAATACAGGCAGTTAAATCAACAATGTCAAGAAAATTTTTAACAGTAGCAACATTTACAGCATAACGCAGAGGTTACGACATATTTTTTTAACTTAAGTCTTATCATACTTATTATAAAACCCAGGTTGTGTGTGTGTGTGTGTGTGTGTGTCTGTACATTTATATATTGGATTGGATTTCCTACATTTTTCGACCGATTCCAACAAAACTTCACAGGACTACGTAAAATTACCATGCAGTGGTTCTGACAGTGACAAAAATTGGGAAAACAATTGTTTTTACACAAAATCAATTTGAAAACACGATTAAGAGGCATTGCGAGAATGAAAGGGGGACAACTCATATCGAGTTATACTTATTATAAAACCCAGTTTGTTTTTGTGTGTGTTCATTTATATATGGGATCGGATTTCCTACATTTTTCAACCGATTTCAACAAAACTTCACTTTTTTTTGGCAGGTAGTGTTTCTTATTGTCTTGCACACTTTTTTCTTTATTTTTACATTCAGAATGCTTTAAAAATTCCATTTACAAGACAATTGTTTATAATAAAATTCTATTCAATCGGTAGACTCATAATGATGGAAAACAATGTTTTTGTTTGAGTTTGAGTTTGACCAATTCGTAAAAAACAAAAAAACAAAAAAAAAACTAATTAAGACATGCGTGTCCATCAACGTTAAACAATAATCTTTGTCAATTTTATTTTTCATGATGGTCGATACTTGATCTATCTCTTACTGTTACATCCTCGGGG